ACAGAAAAAAGGCGCGGAACGATTGTCTGCCGTTGCTCTGACGGAGGGAGGGGCGACTGATGACACGGCTTACAGGGTTGGCTTTAGGGAGCTAAAATCAACAAAGGGGGTGGCTTTACATCAAGGAGTATTTCAGGCAGGACTGCACGGAGGGTTCCAATAAGAAATGGTGCACCTAAGTTATCATTCTTATTGGAACAAGGAGGTTAGCCTGGCCTCTGATTGATACATGGCTAGATTTACCTCGCTGCACCTTCTCTGTGAGTGACTGCAGTGTGACCTAGAGGAACGAGTCCCCTAGACAGGGGAGGAGGCAAATGAGTACAAAACAAATCTGGTCTATTTCTTGTTTTGACCCACTCCATCTATCTTTTGCATCTTTGGCTGGCAGCAGACGGTGCAGAAGGACTGCATGCCATCCACATCTCATGGCTGCTCGGCAGAAGATGGTACAGTACGACTGCTAGCCATCCTCATCTCTTGCCTGCCTGGCAGAAGATGGTACAATACGACTGCTAGCAATCCTCATCTCCTGCCTGCCTGGCAGAAGATGGTACAGTACGACTGCTAGCAGTCCGTATCGCCTGCCCGCTCACCATAAGACAGTTCAATAGGACTGACTGCAGAACTAAAGAGAATGACCTGGTCAAGTCACTCCAAATTTAGTCCCTGCGCCCATGTCTGTCCAGGCGCTCCCAGCCGACGTGTCCAGGAGCACCTCGGACGTGACGATGACGGCTACCAGTCGTACTGTACCGTCTGCTGCCACAAGGCAAGGGGTTGCTGCTACTGTGTAGCAATGCCGTACCACGTCTGCCAGCACCCAGGAGTCATAGGGTGACGGTTACCTGAGCGGGCTCCATGCTTGCCGTGGTATGGCGTCTGCACAGGTAACTCAGGAAAAAAGGCGCGAAATGATTGTCTGCCCTTGCTTTCACGGAGGGAGGGAGGGAACGGGGGCCTGACGATATGTACCCAGAACCACCCGCGACAATGTTTTAGCCCCATCAGGCATTGGGATCTCAACCCAGAATTCCAATGGGCAGCGGAGACTGCGAACTGTGGGATAGCTACCCACAGTGCAACGCTCCGGAAGTCGACTCTAACCTCGGTACTGTGGAAGCGCTCCGCCGAGTTAATGCACTTAGAGCATTTTCTGTGGGGACACACACACTCGAATATATAAAACCGATTTCTAAAAAACCGACTTCTATAAATTCGACCTTATTCCGTAGTGTAGACATACCCTTAGTCCTGCCATGAGTGCAGGGGACTGGACTAGATGAACTCTCAAGGTCCCTTCCAGTCCTAGGATTCTATGATCTCCTATCAATTTCTCTCAGTGGTGCGGTATGAACCCTAGTCTCCTGTCTATATGCCCCCTTCAGTTATTCCTTTCTGCCCCCTCCCCTAAAATCTACATGTGCTTTATTTGGACACACAATTCCTTATGAACTTCCGAGTACCCAGCGGAACGACCCCCATCCTCCGAGGTGGCTGCAATTCAGGGATCATGGCCCATCTATCCCTAGAACTCTCACGCTGTTTACCCAGCTGAGTCTGTTTGCAAAGCCCTTGGCTCTTCTCCAACAGCCCCATCCTCCAGCTCAGATCCTCCTCCCGCTTTGTGTGCACAGGCCAACGAGGACACAGATTTGAGGATAAATAAGCCCCAGTGGCTGCTCCCTGGCTGTTATTCTCAGCATTGGAGGCTTCCCATTTGCTCCAGCATCCCCTCGTTCACCGCCGTCCTGAGCTGTGAGACACAGAGAGAGCCACAACGCTGCGATTGCGCCAACGAGAAGGGTAGGAGAGTCTGTGCCACTGGGTGCGAGATAGGGACAGGGGGTCAAGGGAGAGAAGGAAATGGAAGAAGTGGGAATTGGGATCACTGTTGGTAACTGCCCAGCTAATACCCTTTCCATGGACCCCATTCTCAAACATGGGGCTAGAACCCAGGAGTCCTGACTCCCAGCCTCCCCTGCTCTAACCCACTAGACCCCACTCCCATCCCAAACCTGGGGATAGAACTGAGGAGTCCCGGCTCCCCGCCCCCCACTACTCGAAACCCACTGTTAGGGGGCTTATTCCTTCACCCACTTACTTCCCTGGTCCTTCTCGCATGAACAGAGAGCAACAATACCCGAAGTCCAAAGGTGCAAACAATTCGATGTTTATTGGGGTGAACTTCCAGCAAGCATGATTCCAGTTTCATAGAATCAAGAATCGACGGGTTGGAGGGCCCCGATCCTCCAACCCCGCCAAAGCACCAACCCCAGTTAAATCCCCAGCCCTTTCAACCGACCTAAAACCCTAAGGAAGGAGTTCACCACCTCCCTAGTAACCTCCGTGTTTCCTACCCTCTTAGTAAAAAGTTTTTCCTAATATCCAATCTAAACCTCCCCCACTAACTTGAGACCATTACTCCTCGTTCGTCATCTCCTACCATTGAGAACAGTCTAGACCTCTCTTTGGAACCCCCTTTCAGGTAGTTGAAAACACTATCAAATCCCCCCTCTTCTTCTCTTCTGCAGCTAAACAATCCCCTCCCTCAGCCTCTCCTCTAACTCATATGTTCCAGACCCCTAATCTTTTTGTGCCCTTCGCTGGACCTCTCCAATTTATCCACTCTTCGAAGGGGGGCCCAAAACGGACACAGTACTCCAGTGGGCCTCACCAATGTCGAATAGAGGGGAACGATCCTCCCTCGATCTGCCGCTATGCCCCTACTTATACATCCCAAAATGCCATTGGCCTTCTTGGCAACAAGGCACACTGCTGACTCATATCCAGCTTCTCGTCCACTGTCACCCCTAGGTCCTTTTCCCAGAACTGCTCCTAGACATTCGGTCCCTAGTCTGTAGTTGCATTGGGTTCTTCCGCCTAAGTGCAGGACCCTGCACTTATCCTTATTGAACCTCATCAGATTTCTTTTGCCCAATCCTCCAATTTGTCTAGGTCCTTCTGTATCCTATCCCTCCCCTCCAGCGTATCTACCACTCCTCCCAGTTTAGTATCACCGCAAATTTGCTGAGAGTCAATCCACACCACCTCCAGATCATTTATGAAGATATTGAACAAAACCCCCAAATTGGACACCATTATAGGTAACTAAATAGCATTGATCACTACGTTGGACAATCTAGCCACTTTTACCCACCTTTATGCATTCATCCAGCCCTATCCTTAACTTGTGAAAGAATACTGTGGGAGAGTGTAAAGCTTTGCTAAAGTCAAGAAACAATACATCCACTGCTTTCCCTTCATAAGAACATAATCTCATCATAGAAGGGATTAGATTAGTCAGGCATGACCTTCCTTGTGAATCCATGTGGCTTTTGATCACTTTCCTCTCATGTAAGTGCTTCAGGATTGATTCTTTGAGGACCTTCATGATTTTTCAGGGACTGAAGTGAGGCTGATCCTTAGTTCCCAGGATCCTCTTCTTCCTTTTTAAAGATTGGCACTACATTAGCCTTTTTCAGTATCGGGACCCGTTGCAATTTTAAAGATAATGGCAATCTCTAATCACACGATTCCTTAGCATCTGGGTGCAACTCGTCCGGCCCCATGGACTTTGCAGTCCAGCTTTTTAAAAAGTCCCTAACACCTCTATCTCCACAGAGGGCTGGCCATCTCTTCCCCATTTTGTGATGCCCAGCGTAGCAGTCTGGGAGCTGACCTTGTTAGTGAAAACAGAGGCAAAAAAAGCATTGAGTACATTAGCTTTTTCCACATCCTCTGTCATTTCCTTCCTTAGTATCCTCCTTCCCAGCTCTGACACCACAGAGCCTTACACCTGTGTCCCTATTCCCATTCCTACCCTTAGCCAAACATGATTCCAACTTCCTTACTCCCATTCCCTGTTCCCATTTCCCCCTTTAGCAAAACATGATTCCAATTTTCTTACCCCCATTCCCTGTTCCCATCTCCCTCCCCCACACGCCCACCCCCTCCCACCCACTCACTTCCTCATTGACTACAGATTATATAGTAAAACTTGAGTTCTGCTTAGCTATACCTTAACCAATCATTTTTCTGAAATTTAACTATCCAATCCTAACATATTGTAACATGATTATGTAACCAATTATATCCCACCACCTTAATTAGTTTACACCCAGCAAAATTAATTATTAATTAATTATACAGCAGACAGGAACAATCACAGAACCAGAGAGATTATACAGACAAACAATAGCAAAGTGGGAACTATAATGACAAAACAATACAGAAGTGAGGATTTCACATCCCAGCTATTGATAAGTGAGTTCTTGCCAGACAGGATGCTATCAAACTAAGTTTCCTTTTACATTTTCTAGGCACTTCCCTTTCTCTGGAGGTGATAGGAATACAATCCTGTCCTGATAGTGCCTAACAGCCCGATAGCACCTTATTTCAATGTGACTAGTTTGGAATGTGAGGAGGTGACCGGTCGCTTCCCAGCTTATGGCTGCCTCTGCTGCTTAGCCAAAGGCCTTAGCCTAAGAACAGGGCCTCAGACTGTCCCAGTAAGAGAAGGCCCTTACACCAGCAGACAGTGATTTTGATTCTTTCTTTTATACCTCTAGAACTAGCCAAGTGATAAGAATACACCTAAATTCTTAGAGTATAGGCCTTTACAGACAGGCCTGAATATCTTTATCCGAACACCCACTAGACCCCAATATCCTCCCAGAGACGGGGATGAAACACAGGAGTCCTGGCTCCCAGTCCCCCTTCCCCACATTATAACCCACTAGACCTCACTCCTCTTCCAGAGCTAGACTCAGTGCTGATGCACATCTGGAGCTCAGCAGTGAGCTGGAGCATAGACAGAAAAGACATGAGGTTTGGGTTGTATTTTCTAAAGGGGATCCAGGCTGATATAGGGAGTTCTGACCTGCTGTCTGGATTTAGGTGGCTGGGTCTGGATGGGAGCCAGCACCCCTTAGAGGGGAAAGGCTCCAGATCCATTCCCTATAACTCCCTCTTGGGGGGTTTCCCTTACAGCTGCTGCAATGCTGGGACTTCTTCCCGCGGTCCCCTGCCTCCTCCTCCTGTCCCTGCCAGGCCCCAGCTCTGGCTTGGAGGATGATGACACCATGGTGCTCACCACCAGCGGCCCCATCCAGGGCAAGCGCCTCCAGGCTGGCTCCGGCACAGTGACGGCCTTTCTGGGCATCCCCTATGCTGAGCCCCCCGTGGGGGCCTTGCGCTTCCAGAAACCACTTCCCCACCAGCCCTGGAGCCAAGTCCTGGAGGCCACCAGCTTTGGCAACGCCTGCCCCCAGCCTCAACTTACTGGTTACCCTGAGATCGAAACATGGACACCCAAAACGCCACAGTCCGAGGACTGCCTCTTCCTCAACGTCTGGGTGCCCCATCCCCGGCCCCTCACATCGGCCCCCATCCTCGTCTGGATCCATGGTGGGGGGTTCTTCTCAGGTGCAGCCTCACTCGACGTCTATGATGGGCGCTTCTTAGCTGCCACCGAGAACCTGATCGTGGCTTCAATGAACTACCGGCTGGGGGCGCTGGGTTTCCTGTCCCTGCCCCCGGCCGCCCCAGGGAACGTCGGCCTATGGGACCAGCGACTGGCGATGCGCTGGCTGCGGGACAATGCAGCCGCCTTCGGAGGGGATCTGGCCCATTTCCTGCTCTTCGGCCAGGGCACTGGGGCTGCGTCAGTCGGCTTCCACCTCCTCTCTCCAGGGAGCCGGCCCCTCTTCACCCGCGCCATTCTGCTGAGTGGAGCCCCGAATGCACCATGGGCTTGGATTTCACTTGAGGAGGCCAAGAAGAGAGGCCGGAGGCTGGGCCAGCTGCTTGGCTGCACTGATAACGATGACATGGCCCTGGTGGGCTGCCTGCAGGAGAAGGAACCAGGGGAGTTCCCCAAACACGAGTTCTCCGTCTTGCGCCACAAGGAGCTGCTGGGGCTGCCCTTTGTGCCGACACCAGATGGGGATTTCCTCCCTGATACACCACCAAGACTTATGCAGGCTCAGCAGAGCCACCCTATACCAATCGGGGCTGGCTTCACTGCCAACGAAGGCTCCTATATGTTAATATTTGGTGCTCCCGGACTCAACCTGGAGAACGCCAGCTCCATCGGCTGGGAGGAGCTGCTGCAGGTGGTGAGGCTGATGGTTCCAGGAGCCCCGGAAGAGGCTGTCCGGGCTGTGGCACTGTGGTACAGCCGGGAGGGGAAGGGGCAGGGCGAGGCACGCTACCGATGGGCCATGGATCAAATTACTGGTGACTACCTATTTGTGTGCCCGGTAGCCGAGCTGGCTAGTCAGGAAGCAGAGGCTGGCAATCCTGTGTACGCCTACTACTTCACCCACCGCACCAGCAGCTTGTCTACACCTGAATGGACGGGGGTGCCACACAGCTCTGCGTTTCCCTACGTGTTCGGGACCCTGGCATCTGTAGGAGGAGCCAACCACACGCACACGGAGGCTGAGGTGGCGCTGAGCCACATGGGAATGCGGCACTTTGCAGAGTTTGCCAGCAGCGGGTAAGGGAATCCCCCACAATCCATCTGTAACTCTTTGGCCAGGTATCCACAACATCCAGGAAGACCCGCTCAATGCCATGTCAAAGAAGGGGTCCCTTAGAACAATAGTAAATCTATTTGGTTGAAGCCCCTAACCTAGAGCTGAACTTACTTCAATGAAATAAAAGCTAAGTCCCCTGGTTCCAGGTTAGGGTTAATTCCCTTCTTCCCTCATCCGAATGTCGGCGATCCTACGAATTCTCATTCAAAGACACAAGGTTTTTTACCTAGTAGTCAGTGCTTTCAAAACTCTGCCTGTCCTTTCCCAGCCCTGCCACACAAACTCAGGGGATGTCTCTGCTATGGAGACTGTACAGGCATATGTACATCCACCCATCACGTAGATACAGCCTGCAGCAGCAAAAGGGGTTGCTCCAGAACTGGAGGAACATCGCTTGCCCAAAATCAGGAGCTACCTTAACAAAAGCATCTTTCCTTCAACATAACTGCAGCTAACCTAGGGCTAGGTCAGCACAGCTGTGGCAGTCAGGGGGGTGGTTTTGTCACATCTCTGACGGAGACAAATGTGGCCATTTAAGATTTAAGCGTATACCTGGGCTTAGATACAAAGACTTGTGCCCTTGCACCGGAAAAAACCCCACAACCCCAAACAAAAACCTCCACCCCTTTCCGGTGGGGTCCCCCCCAATTGGGCCCATAATTCCCCAAAAGGGGGAGAGGAAAAAAAAAAAAACCGGAACGGGTTGTTTCGTGGCGAGGAACATAACACCAGCTCCCAAGACTCATCAATACAAATATCTTCAGCCTTCTGCCTGATTTCCCGGTGAGGGCCGGTCCCTCTTCCCTCCGGGCGGGCCGCACCACGGCCAGCTTGGGGCCCAGCTAATTCCCAGACTCAGGGGGAGCTGAAGGCAATCGGGGGGCCATTTTGATAGGTTAAAGAAATAAATAAAAAAAGAAAAAAATGTTGTTCACCTCCCCCCTTTCTCTCCCCCCCTTTCCCTCCCTCTTCTCCTCCCCCCCCCCCCCCCCTTTCCTTTTTTTAGAAATTTTTTGGTTTTTTTTTTAGAAACCCACATGAGACAAACAAGAGGAAGTGACCATCTTAACTAAGGGCAGCCTGTGGCTTCATGCTCATTGGGAACAAGAGTGGATGGGAGCTATTTAGGAAAGGGGTCAAATTTTTCAAGTTGGCTGCTAATCACCCCTGCACCTGGGATGTCAAGCTCCAGTTGGAGTTTGTTACCCTCTCTGCCAAGTCCAGGTACAAACCTCTGTGTGGCATGTTGAATTTTCCCCCAGGACTCCTTTGGGGTTGAGGGACAAAGGGAAGCAGTGGCCCCGCTACGACCCCACAAAGCAGAACTTCGAGCACATCAGCACGGAGCCACCCAAGGTCGAGAAGATATCGCCCGCCCGGCACTGCGGTTTCTTGGAATCAGTGCTCGCAGGTGAGCATCAGTGGAGTCAGAGGATGGCAGCCCTAGAGGAGAAAGGCCTTATGTTTCCACCCCCCTGAGTCAGTCACTCCCCACACCTTCGACCTGGATTGGAGCTAGCACCCCCTAAAGGGGAGATACCCATTTCCATGGGATCTTCTAGCCTCCTAGAGTTGCCCCATTCTCCTGCCTGGGGTAGATCTCAATTATCCTAGGGACACCAGAACCTATCTGCTATAGGGAGCCTCAGGTTCTACCCCATCTTCACTTGCTCAGCCACTCTGGGAAGGAGGATGGCACCCGTGTTTCCTGTACCCCCACTTCCAGTGGAGGAGGCTTGAACTCAGAAGGGGATCCCCATCACGGTGAATGGGGATGGAGGGAGGGATCCAAGGATAGTGGGGGCAAGGGGCAGGTGGCCCAAAATGGGAAAAGGGGCAATGACAGAAAGAAACACAGCCGGCTCTGGGGAGAGGCGTGACTGCTGTGTAACTGTGTAGCACAGGAAGTGAAGGAGAATCCCATATCCACTGGGAATCTTTTGTGCCAGGGGAGCTCTTAGGGGTGGCAAAACAGAGCCTTGCACATTGGACACCGGAGTTCACAGATGCTGGGAAACATGGAAAATCGAGCAGCACAGCGTCCCCTACTGCTAAAATGTAGCACTGGGAGGAGCACTGACTGTGGAAGGACAGCCAACTCCAGAACCCCCCATGTCGCTCTTTGCAGCATAGCGCCCCCTAATGCATGGGGAATAGCACTGACTGTAGGGGGCGAGCGTCCCATACTGAGCCCATCCAGCACCTGGTTTCCCCTGCAGGTCTCCCCTCCCGTTTACAAGTAGACCAAACGCTACATAGTCTGAGCTCATCCCCACTGCTGTTAACCTCACTCGCTGTGTGTCCTGCAGGAGCAGACCCAGGACATGCCCAGCCCAGGGAGCAGTGAATGAAGACTTGAGCAATTACAATCCCCTCACAGAGGGAACATTCCCTGCAGACAAGAGCATCCAGTTCCTGTTAGCACCTGCTAATTCACTGATGAGGATCCTGCTAATAAACCTCCTTGGGCCATGGATTGGCCCTCCCTCTGCAATCCCTCCACCCCCAGTGCATTAAAGCATATTCAGTCTGGAGACATGTTATCTGTCTGATGATTAGCTGCTCCTGAGCAGGGGGGATAGTGTGTGTGTTGGGGGTTGGGTTGGGAGTTAAGTGTTGTGATAATGAGGGACACCGATTACATTGGTGGTGGGGCTAAATGATCCTCTGGGGTTTGAACAGGCAAATGATGAAACCCGAAGATCACACTGTGCATCCAGAGCCAGATATGGAACCCAAAAGTCCGGACGCCCAGCCTCCCCTGGTCTAGCCAACTAGACCCCAATCCCCTCACGGAACTGGGATCGAACCCAGGCATCTTGGCTTCCAGCTCACATTTGTCTAATCCACTAAACCCTATTCTCATCTCCAACCTGGGGATAACACCCAGAAGTCCTAACTCTCAGTCCCCCTCTGCTCTAACCACTAGAACCCACTTCCCTCCCAGTCCTTAGGAGAGAACCCAGGAGTCATGAATTCCATCCTCTGTGCTCTAACCCACTAGACCCCAGTCCCCTCCATGATGGTGCTCAGCGTACAGTGAGAAAGAACCATACATACCAGGGAATCTAAGGAAATCAGTGGTTTATTGATGACACTTGTGGGCCATTATACAAGCCACAGAGACAGGTTCTTGCCCAATCAGCTGGAAGTGTACAGAAAGGAGATTAAGTGGGTATAGGGACAGAAAGAGCTCCACAAACATACACAGCCCCCCTCGCCATGACCACTTCCCTGCACAGATCCCCTCTGGGAGCAGGGACTCTGTGGTACAATCAGCCCCCAGCCTCCCTGCTCAGGAGCTGGAGGGGTTTGGGACAGGGGGGCTGGACTGAGCCTCCACAATTCACTATGCACCGATGGGAATGATCAACACTGGAACCAGAGCCACCCAAAGACCCCATGTCCCTTTCCCCATTCCCATGAGCCAGACAGTTCCCTGCAGTCTGTGGGGCTGGATGGCAGCCAGCAGCCCCTAGAGGGGAAAGGCTCATATCCCATCACCTACTCATTCTCCTAGTAGCTAGAGCTGGTGGTGCAGACCCCCAGAGCATATGCTTTCCAGAGTGCAGGGAAAGAGGCTCAAACACTCCCGAGAGGGACGGGGGATCCCTGTATACTGACATGTGCACAGAGGGCAGGGAAAGAGGCTCAGACCCTCTGAGAAGGGCAAGCCCCCCAGATCCCGACTTCCAGCATGCCCCATGGCTCAGCTCTGCTCAGCTCCCAGTTGAAGAAGCATCACACCATTTCTGTCATCATCTGCTGGTGCCTTTAGGATTATTTCTCCAGCTCTGACAGGGTGAGTGGGGCTCTGCAGACAGGTGGTGAGGTCATAGGGTTACCACCTGCATAAGCAAGGAAGGAAGCAGAATTGGGGCTGGCTCAGGCCTAAGTTTAGGGGTCTGAAGTTGGCTAAGGTTGGTAGGGGCTTGAGGAGAGGGTTAGCATGGGCCCCTTCCCCTCCACAGCCCAAAGCTGTTCTCATGAGAGGGTGAAAGGAGCTCGGCAGCTCAGGACAGCCCTGCCCTCTCCTTCCCCCGCCCCTCCTGTGAGCAATGGGGTCATGTCTGCTCCTGCCCCCTGCCCCCTGCCTGGGAAGGGGCACTGGGGGATGAAGAGCCCCTGGAGCTGCCCCGTCCCGGCTGCAAGCGGGGGTCCCTGATGCAGCCCCCCCCAGCCCTGGGGGTGGGGGTTGAAGAATCCCAGGAGCAGCAGAGCTGAGGCTGGCGGACAGGACGGATGGGATCAGGGGCTGGGTGGGGATGGAACTGATGGGGGCACTGGAGAGACAGGATGGGTGGGGGAGTTTGGGGAAGCAGCAGGAATAGCTGGGCAGGGTGGTGGGAAGAAACCAGGAGCCACAACCGCCTGACCCAATCGATTTGGGATCCTTGGCCAGACTGATTTTCGCACGCGCACACACGGGAGGGGGTGGGGGGGGAGTTCAAAAATCAAAAGACAGACCAGGGAAAACCAGAAGATGAGCTGTTGCTTTTTTAAAATATTATTTTGGGGACGATCTCATGATTTACGGGGTGGGGGAGGGGTCTGACTTGAATTCCTACGTTTGGCAATGTGGGCCCCTGCCCCACACACGTCCCAGAGCTGGAGGCTGAGAATCTGCCCCCTCCACACACACACGCCCATAGCTGCTCCGCCCAACAACCCTTCTGCTCCCAGCCTCTGCCATAAGAGGCACCGCCCAGAATCACTTCCCCCACCCCAGCCAGCCTCTTGAAGTTACCCATCTCCCCCTCTTCCCCTGCCCATTTACATGGCATCACCTGCTCCTAAATGGTCTGGGTGAGACCACCTAAGGCAGACGCCATCCTGGGACCCAAGAACAGAGGCAGCCCCCCCGTGTCCTGAGCTAAACACTGTATGATAGTGCAGAAATGGGTGGCCAGGGGGGTGGGGGGGGATGAATCATTAATTCAGTTTTCAGAGTAGTAGCCGTGTTAGTCTGTATTCGCAAAAAGAAAAGGGGGACTTGTGGCACCTTAGAGACTAACCAATGTATTTGAGCATAAGCTTTCGTGAGCTACAGCTCGCTTCATCGGATGCATTCAGTGGAAAATACAGTGGGGAGATTTATATACACACAGAACATGAAACAATGGGTGTTACCATACACACTGTAAGGAGAGTGATCACTTAAGATGAGCTATTACCAGCAGGAGAGTGGGGGGGGTGAAGGGGGAAGAAAACCTTTTGTAGTGATAATCAAGGTGGGCCATTTCCAGCAGTTAACAAGAACGTCTGAGGAACGGGGGGGGGGGGGGGGGGAATAGTTTTACTTTGTGTAATGACTCATCCACTCCCAGTCTCTATTCAAGCCTAAGTTAATTGTATCCAGTTTGCAAATTAATTCCAATTCAGCAGTCTCTCGCTGGAGTCTGTTTTTGAAGTCTTTTTGTTGTAATATTGTGACTTTTAGGTCAGAGATCGAGTCACACACTAGTCCTCTGGCAACTGTCCCCCAGCAGATAACAGCCCTACCACTGCTGCAAGCTAAGATAGCTCTCTTTTCAGTCCAAGTGACAGCTCTTTGCCGTGGCGCTGAAGGTCCTGGATTCTCACCCAGCTGGTGATCATGGGGGTTTCTGTGTAAATGAAGGCACATAAGGGAGGGTGAATGGGGGTGTCTCAGACTCACATTCGATGACTGTGATGTCGCTGCAGAACTGGCCCGGCCCAGCGGTGCAGGCGTCCCCCTTTGGCATGTGGCCAACCTGGGGGATCACAAGGGCACACTCCCGGCACTGCAGGCCCCCCACAGCAGGGTGCAAATGGACACAGAGAAGGAGACAGCGAGATGGGCGGAGTAGGGGGAGATAGAGAGATGCAGGGAGAGAGAGAGGTGGTGCCCGTCTGTGCGCAGTCCCCCTGCAGCCTGCACAGGCCTGTGGGGTATACACTGTACCAGAATCCCCCCTGCTGGCCATAGGGGCCAAGCCAGCCAAAGCTGTCCCCAAGTCTCTGCACAGGCCGAGCCATGACATCCCCTCCTCCAGATCTACCCCCTGACATGAGACACAGCATGGCAGAGGCTGCATGGAGCAGAGCCTGGGCCACTCCGGGCTTCTCTGGGTCACTGTCTGGCAGATGTTGGGCCAGGGAGAGACAATTCCCCGGTGCAGAGAGACGACAGCTTCCTGGTGTAAATAGTGTTCAGGAGGCACACCGCCAGTTCTGAGGCCTGGGAACACCCCGGGCAGGAATTTCCCAGGGAGGAATGATGTAGGGAAAGGGCCAGGGGTTGGTTTGGATCAACTGGAGAACAAACAGGATGGAGATACATTAAATTAGCAACAGGAGAAAAACCAACGTGACACCTACTCATTCCTGACCCACAGCACCTGGCTATACGCTCACACTCCTGAGCTCCCCTATTCCCCGGAGCTCTGCCGATGTCCCTGAGTCCTGACCCATAGCATCCTGCTACCCCAGCTCTAGGCTCCTCCACCCCATACTCCACAACTCTGCGAATGCCCCTCAGGCCTGACCCACAGCATCCTGCTATTCCAGCTCTGCTGATGTGTTTCAATCTCAGCCTGCAGCCCCCTGCTATACCAGCCCTGGGCTGCCCCCCATCTCCTCCCATAGCTCTGCCATTTCCCCTCAGTCCCACCCCACAGCGCTGCCCCTCCTCTGCTACCACACCAGATATCCAAGTGACATTTTTTGATTTAACATGCACTCAGCTGTGACTCATCCAACTCAGGTCCACAGTGACCAACCTGTGACCAATGCTGGCAACTAGAAATAACAAAACTCCTATAAGAAAAGGAGTACTTGTGGCACCTTAGAGACTAACCAATTTATTTGAGCATGAGCTTTCGTGAGCTACAGCTCACTTCATCAGATGACTAAGGTGCCACAAGTATTCCTTTTCTTTTTGCGAATACAGACTAACACGGCTGTTCCTCTGAAAACTCCTATAGTGATTACTAAGAGAAGCAACTTAGGGAACTTAGGGCAATTTCAGACCCAGGAGGAACAAACATTTCCACAGCTCTCACTAATGATCGTGACGCAACCATGTGTTGTCAAAACCAGGATCTTGCCTGGAGCGGCTCTCACCAGCGAATGCAGAACGGGTAGGATTTCAAAGGAGCCCGACAGAAGTCAGCAGATATGACAGGGAGCACTGTAGGGGTGCTGTACCTGACAATCAGCACTGTCCCCAATGTCCCAGTGTGCCACTAGGGGGCGCGATGCTGCAGGACAGTCTGCCTTGCACATGAGAAATAACTACACTTGGAATGAACCGATTTTTAACGGGAAATGTCTGTCGACATCGCCTCCATGGTAAACAGGTGCAAAAAATATTTCCACTGATAATCGTGGAAATTTACAGGTAGGCCAAGTAAGAAGAAACATAGAAATGTGGGACTGGAAGGGGCCTTGAGAAGTCATCAAGTCCAGCCCCCTGTGCTGAGGTAGGACCA